CAGCCCCTCCTCTCCGCAGCCAGCCTGCCCACCAGTCGAGCGGCTGCTGCTGAGGCTGGTGGGCCCGACTCTCCCAGAGAGAGGGAAAGGCAGGTGGGCATGGAATGTCAATGGGGAAAGCGGGGGTCATTTGGAGCCTTAGAGTGTGAGTTGGGGGTGCTGTCTGGGTGAGGGGTGTGTGTGATGTGTGAGGGTGGTAGGAGTGTGTTTAGGGTGTGGAGTGTGTGTGTAAGGAGGGAGGGTGTAGTGGTGAATACCTAAGGTTTTGAAGGTAGGAAGACGAAGGTGGAAGAGGGCATATTAGAGATCAGCGGGTCACGAAGGGCAGGTGAGTGTGTGTGGAGGGGAGGGAGAGGGTGTCCGGTGGGAGCCTGGTGCTGAAGGAAGGGTGCCCTTAGGTAAACATGCCCCCATGTCCGACCCGGTGACTGGTGCAAGTGTGTGCAAATGGATGTGCTGTGGCCCTCAGAGGGCACCGCGGGCTGCGTGGGAGCGGCGGGAAGGGCATCCTTAACCTCCTTCCTGCAGGCGGCAGTCTGGCGTCAGGAGCGACATGGGGTCCCGGGCTGAGCTGTGCACCCTCCTAAGCGGCCTCTCACTCCTCCTCCTCCTGACGTCCGGCCACGGGTCCAAGGGTGGATCCCCCAGAGAGAGGTGACAACCAGGGGGCAGGGGCAGGGTGAGATGTTCAGGAAAGCTGGGTGGGGCCTCACGGGTGGCCAGCGAAGTTTGGAAAGGGGGTGAGGCCGCCACCTGAAGGGGCTCCCAGGCCTGGCCCGCTCAGTGCCCCCACCTTCTCCCGCTGGGCGCAGTCAGGGGGTCTGCTCCCAGCAGACGCTGCTGGTCCCGCTCCGTTACAACGAGTCCTACAGCCAACCCGTGTACAAGCCCTACCTGACCCTGTGCCCGGGCAGGCGCATCTGCAGCACCTACAGGTGAGGGAGGGGAGCTTGGGTCCCGGGGTCTTTCAAGAGGAACCCCAAGAACCCAGACCAGGACCCATACGTCAGGGTCCGAGCCGGCACTGTGCTCCAGGACCACATACCGCGTGGCGTGGCGGGAGGTGAGGCGGGAGGTGCGGCAGACGCACGCCGTGTGCTGCCAGGGATGGAAGAAGCGGCACCCGGGGGCGCTCACCTGTGAGGAAGGTGAGC